CGTGTGCCTTCGTAGGGAACGTTGTTGTAGAAGGTTAGGTAGTCGTTCGTAGCCGACTGGCCCGTCCTCGTCCCTCCTCTCTCTCTCTCTCTCTCTCTCCCTCTCTCTAGTAGAGAAAATGACTCGTCAGAGAAAATCACCAAAGGGCATGCTTGAGAAATGAGGACTAGGGTAAGAGGTTGTACTTGCTTGTGCATGATCTCACTTTTCATACCTTACATAGCCTACTTCTAAATTGAACATAAATCATAGTCAAGAGGGCTTTGCATAAATACATGAAAATAAATTCGAAAACGTATATTTATTAATTATTTACTACCATAAATACACCTAAAATAATTACATATTTTCATAGCCTCCCCTAATAAAAGTATCTATTTTAGGACATGATATTTTCATAGCCTCCTAAAAAACCATTTTCGGAAGCTACATATGATATGATTTTCGGGTTTTCTGTTCTGTTTAGAGGAGTTTCCTCTCTGTACAATTTAGGAGGCTATGGCCTCTCTCTCGTATATAAATCCTACAAGTATTATAAACCCTACATGTGATATAACCCCTAGAGAGGCCATATATGGCCAAGCACATGAAAATGGGCGGGCCATTTGGTGATAAGAACCAGTGTCATCAAACTAGCTAGCGGAGAAAGTACTACACAATATAGTAAATATAAAGATAGCTGTGCGAATGCACACGCAAGTACATACAAACATACATGCATGCATACAAATACACAATTTAATACATTTATATATACATACATTCATACAGGTACATTCGTCGTGACAGTTACATACATTCATATAGATACTTAAATCTATATAGATATTTAAAAATGAAGTATGTGCAGTTGGTGATCGGTCCGGCTGGGAGTGGGAAGGTATCTATCAACGTGACTGTTTTGCACAAAATCCCAGCGTGAATTTTAGTTGATGTACATGAAAATGTTGGACAATCTCTTATATTACACACTTGTTTCATTTACACTTTGGGGTTGTTGGAGTCGGAATACGAAGCAATTGTGGTGATTCTCATTCGTCCTTAATCGCTGCAAAAATTGCAAGGATATACACTGAATAATTTCCTACTGCCTGTATGAATGTCAGCTCCAAAATAGAATTTCTTGAGCGGTATGAACGGCGGTTCGATGATACCAAGTTTGTGCGAAAGATATATATATATATATGTGTGTGTGTGTGTGTGTGTGTGTGTGTGTGTATGTGTGTGTGTGTGTGTGTGTGTGTGTGTATGTGTATGTGTGTATGTGTATATATAGAGTCAGATATATATAGATTTAATACGCACATAAATATCGTCTTGTTGGAGGATCTTTGTATTCATACGCACACACACATACACATCCACATATTTAAGTTTATGTAGCTTCACGCCTTATTTATTTTTATCAAACTTGACAACCAGGCTGCATCGATTTAAATTTTAGGAATCCGCGCACTAATAGCCACCACTATGTCCTCGCAGTCCACCTATTGTAGCACAATTCAAGAGTATTGCGACAATATTGGAAGGACAGTTCATGTGTTAAATCTGGATCCAGCCGCGGAACACTTCAGTTATAGAGTATCTTTAGGTATGTCTCATTGTGAGTTCATCATGCGCTTGCACACGGTATGTTGGTGAGGCATTGCCGTTTTGTGCATGGTATTCATTGCACACAATTATGTAAACTCTATGATGTTTGTATATACGACGATTAATAAAGATATGTGTCATACACGAAGCAAACTTCTTGAGCGGAGATACATGATGTCTTCATAAACCTTGCCAATATTGACTATATATATATATATGTGTGTGTGTGTGTGTGCCTGTTTCTATGTCTGTCTCTGTCTCTGTCTCTGTCTCTGACTCCGTCTCTGTGACTGTGTCTGTATGTATATATATATATATATATATATATATATATATATATATATATATATATATATATATATATATATATATATATATATATATATATATATAGATATATATATATACAAGAGACATATATATATAGCTTTATATATATATATATATCATATATATATATATACATATACATATATATATATATATATATATATATATATATATATATATATATATATAGATACACATATACATATATATATAGATACATACATATGTGTAT